GACTGGCACTGAAGTGATCATTTTTTAACAACTGACACTAAAGTAATCACTTTAAACAAAATTTGTTACTTAATCGATCAGTATTTACAACTTTTATACGGCATCGTTTAGGGGTTATATGCTAACTGGACAAGCGACGAGCCACATAAGACAAAAAAATTAATAAAATATGGCTACATCGGATTTCCGGCAACTCAGATCGGAGTTGGCACTTAAGTGATCGTTTTTTAAAAAAATTGGCAATTAAGTGATCCGGAAAAAACTTTTGACACTAAGGCTGTGTTCGTTTGCGGAAAAATATTTTTCCGGAAAATATTTTCCGCGTTTTCCGGTGTTCGGGGGCGGAAAAAGTTTTCCGTGGGAAAACATTTTCCTTTCCCACCCCAAATCCTTCATTGTTTTGAGGAAAATGATTTCCTCTTTTCACAAAGAGGAAATCATTTTCCCCCAAATTGAAGGCAAAATTGCCCATGGGAGGGAAAATGTTTTCCGTGAGAGAGGAAGTTGATCGCCGGTCACCACCGTTGGCCGCCGGCCGCCAGTCGCCGGCCGCCCGTCCGCCGCCGCCCGGCCGTCCGCCCATCCCCGCCGCCGGCCGGCCGGCCGCCTCCCCCCGCCGGTCGCCCGCCGCCCCCCGCCGCAGCCGCCCGGCCGGCCGCGCGGCCGGCCGCTCGCCGCTGCCCGCCGGCCGCCACCGCCGACGCTCGCCGGCCGCCCCCGCCGCCGGTCGCCGGTGAAAAATACTTTCCGAAACTTTTTCGTATTGATCACCGAACACCGGAAAATTATGTTCCGGGAAAACATTTTCCAGGAAAATGACTTCCGGGAAAATATTTTCCAAAAGGAGAATATTTTCCGCCAAACGAACGGAGTCTAAAGTGAGTGTCGTATACAATTTTTGGCACTTCCACTATCCTTTTCCCAGAAAATCAATTACCAACCGATTCTTTATTGTGTATTCTGGTGTTTTCTACTTTATTCACATTATTTCAATGCCTATAATCAAACAAGATCATCATCACCACCTTTTGACATTCTCTTTCTCTTTCAATGCTCCATCCTGCTTGCCGTGAGGTGCAAGGTCAGGATCCATGTAACCTCGCCTCTCCTTACTCAATTTTCATTTATTATTCATCACCGTTAAGTTAGTTTCCACATTTATTAACAAATGTTGATAGTGATTCAAACAAAACTTGATAACTTAGGAAGGGATGATATCATAACTTTCGTACAACACTCACTTGAATATCATAGCTTTTTTTTTTTATCATTTGAGTGGTTGACTTCTAAAAAACCGTTCACTTGAGTATAATAACTTTCAATCAATTACTTGAGTGCCATAACTTTTAAAAAACATTCATCCAAATGTCATAAATTTGACGTGGCATGGTACTTGTGGTGAACATCTTTAAAAGGTTATGACACTTAAGTGAACGAATGAAAAGTTATATAGAACTCAAGAGATAAAAAATGGTTATGGCACTTAAGTGAATACCATACGAAAGTTATGACACGTGTGGTGTCATTTTCGCCTTTTCCTATAAGAATTAGTAAATTTAACATCTTAATTACTTATGTCAAGTATTGGAATAGTTGGTTTTTCCTACAAGAGTTAATGAATTTGATAAGTTTGTATGCTCCGAAAATAAATATTGGTAAATTATTAATACCATTGTTAATTCCAATAATCAAATAAATGTTAGCAATTAGATCAAATAAGAGTTAGTAGAGCATATATGTTGGTAACTTAACTCGCGAAAAGTTGGTAAATCACCTGAATAAAGACTGGTAGTCATTATATGAGTTAGTAATATTGACGCACCGTTAACTTTGACAAATAAATTTTAGTAAATTATTGGAGCAATCGGTAATTTTGAACATAATAAATGTTGATAAGTGGATTTAAATAAGAGTTGGTAATTTTCCATAAAAGATAATAATTTTAACACATTGGTAACTTATGTAAATAAATGTTAGCTTATTATTAAAATAGTTGGTAACGTAGGATAATCTAGTAACCGTTAGCACTTTCGTAACATTCTGAGTACCTTAACAATGTGTTATCAATTGAACAAGTTGCTAGTCAAAACTTTGTTGCTAACGTGTTTTGATAGTTATCAACGCTTTTCACATGTTACTAGTACGAAAATGTATTCGCGACTTGAGAGTACTCATACAATTGATCTAAACAAAACAATACTCAAATAAGGTATGATAATACCAATAAAAAAATAGGTTAACACCATAAAAAAATCCCAAACTGGTACACCTGTAACAAATTTACTAAAAACTAATTTTTCGACCACTAAAAGCCCCAAACTAGTACATTTGTAACAAATCTACCATCTGCTAGTTTCTATTAAATTGGATTAATACCACAAAAAATCACAAACTAGTACACACGTGACAAACAAAAGGTAAAACTTGAACTAGTTCATCTGTCAACTACCACGTGTCATCCAACTAATCAATTCGATAGTAAAATTTAATGAAAACTAGCAGAAGGTAAATTTGTCACAAGTGTACTAATTTGGGGGTTTTTTATGATCAAAAAATTAGTTTGTGGCAATATACCAATTTGAGGTTTTTCGTGATATTAACCCAAAAACATAAAGCGTGGTAATAGAAAATCAAGCCCTGTCGGACAAAATATAACCTCGCTGGACACGGTGAGCTGTAAAGGGCAAGTCTACGCAAGTTCTCTAATATAGACCAATTTATAAAAAGAAAAATTAATGAATATGCGGATGTAATATGTTATGCAAAATACACCTTCAATAAATTATTTATTTAAAATGAGCTATTACACGTGGTAATAAAATTTAACTAATGCAATCTCAAATGCCAGACAATACTAAGAGAATGAATACATACATACATACATATGTACGAATATGCAAAATCCCCTAACTGCACCCCTAGACATGTTTTAAGGATTTGTTAATGTAGATACAGTCTCAAATCAATAGCATGCCAGATTCAATTTTTGTATATTTTCTATTTTATGACATGTGATTTCAGAAATAGATGTGCAAATGTGACAATTAAATAATAATGCAACCTCAATGTCATAATGCAAATTTAATATGCAAAGTGTATGATCTAATTTAAAATTATACAATGAAATTAGGCTTAATGAACATGCAAATCCAGAATTTCTAGCACCCAACCAAACAATTTCACTCGATATGAACATTTCGAAATACAATCGAGGAACATGATTAATCCTTGCATGGACTTACTCTAAGAGACAAAAACAGGGGCAAAAGGACACTATAAGTGTCATAAGTTGTGTACGGAGATCACTTTGGTGTCATAACTTTTTTTCGGATCACTTTGGTGCCAACTTTTTTGAAAAACGATAACTTTAGTGCCAATGCTGACATGGCCATCGGAAATCTGACGTGGCTCTTTTTTTATTAATTTCCGATGCTGACATGGCTCACTAGAAATATGACGTGGCTCGCTGGAAATATGACGTGGCTCGACGGAAATCTGACGTGGCTCTTTTTTTGGCCGGAGTCACTAAAGTGATCTCTTTTCCTCCGACTTGGCACCAAAGTGATCCGAAAAAAAGTTATGGCACCAAAGTGATCTCCGTACACAACTTATGGCACTTATAATGTCCTTTTGCCCAAAAACAGGCATTTAAATCATAGAGTAGTCCTATCAAGTTATGGATACAATTTAAAGTCCTAGCAGACACAGCTTGATGGCCAAGCTTTGGTCTCACAGAAATATCCAACTATATACTTAGAAATGGCGACGAAATCATCCAATTAGTAAAAACGACTTAAATAACTAAAAAAACCAAATTGGATCCTAAACGGAGTCATTATCCCAAAGAACCAAAATTAAATTATACCTGAAACAATATGAAAGAGATCAAAATCGAGCATCGGAGGCAGTTCATCGTGGGCAAAAGGACACTATAAGTGCCATAACTTGTGTATGGCGCTCACTTTAGTGCCAAAAATTTTCGCCGGCTCACTTAAGTGCCAAATCGGAGGAAAAACGATAACTTAAATGCTAAAATTCTTGAAAAACGATAACTTAAGTGCTAAATGTTTTGAAAAACGATCACTTAAGTGCCAATCTCCGGCAAGCCACGTCAGCTTCAGAAATTAATAAAAAAAAATGCCACGTCAGATTTCCGGCGGAAAATTGTGTACGGCACCGGAGTTGGCACTTAAGTGATCGTTTTTCAAAAATTTTAGCACTAAAGTGATAAAAAAAAAAAACTTATGGCACCAAAGTGAGCGCCATACACAAGTTATGGCACTTATAGTGTTCTTTTGCCGTTCATAGTGACTTAGCGACACCATGTGATAACACAAACTGCAGCAGTGCCACGAATGCTCAATAGTGGCAAACGGGTTGACATGGGGTATTTGGTGAGCAGGGGCAGCAGCCTCTTTTCTATACAAGCTTCTCCGAACACCGGAACTGTGTGTTGGTAACTTACAAATATGTCATCGACCGAACAAGTTGCCAATCAAAACTTTGTTGCTAACGTGTTTGATAGTTATCAAGGCTTTTCACATGTTACCAGCACGAAACAGTATTCATAGTTTTACCCTACGGAACAGTAGACCAGTCCAATTTCGGCTCACATAGTCAGCTCATTCTACATTAACATAATGTCTTATTTTATTGGACAAAAGCAAGGGACTTTTTTTCTTTATAACCAAATGCAAAGAAAGAGAGAGATGTCGGAGAATAATAAGCACGACTTCTTTGTTACTTGAAGCTCCAATAACAATTCTTCCATCATTAAGAAAGGAACCATCAGGTTCATAGTAGTTGCAGTGGCGCATAGCTCCGGAGTTGGACATGTCGATCCGCACTTTCATGCGGGGTGTCATCTGCGACTCACAGATGTGAGGACAAATGCTAGATACAATTAGCAACATCTATCAACAAAATGAATGAATGATTACGAGGAAAAGAAAATATAAATCATGAGAGACAGAGAGTGATTTTACTTACTAAATAACCTCTTATTTGCGTAGTTGAAATTGGAAAGCTCTCCTGAACCAAAGTATGATAATCATCCTTGTGATCGACAATTTTTCGATAATCCTATCCACCGCCCAAAAATAAGAAATCCTCCAAGATTGCTTGAAATGTAATATACAACATAATCCCAATAATGCCACTGCAAAGCCTGGTCCCAATCCCACGTAAAACCAAACAACAATGGAGTCGTCTTCATTAGACTCATCTTCAATCGTATTGTGACCATCTTGTCTGTGTTTAACATTATGATCCTCTCCAGGACAAACCTTCAAAAGAGGAGCTCCGCAAAGTCCATCGTTGCCGCGATAAACAGATTGATCGTCCAGGGTGCTTAGATGATTGCCCGATGGAACAGGACCGGATAAATTGTTGAAGGAAAGATCCAAACAACTTAGAAAGTCTAAATTGGATATGCTAGGAGGGATTTCACCCGATAGCTTGTTATTGGATAGATCGAGCGATTCTAAATCTCTCAAGTTGCCAATATCTAAAGGGATTTCTCCAATCAGATTATTTTGAGAGAGATTCAAATTCTGAAGTCGAGCAAGCATAGTTAGACCTTTTGGTATTTGTCCGTCTAATGCGTTGCTTGAAAGGTCAATGGAAAATAAATATCGGAGAGTGGTGGTGAATTCTCGGCTTGTTCCTTTCATATCAACCATAATGGGAAAGAGCGACGGGACTCCCTCATATGGAGAAAAAGTGGAATTGACCCACATCCGTGAAAAGTTGTTGAAACAACGGGGAATGCCTTTGGATAGGTTGTTATGTGCTAGGCTTAAATACTGGAGATTAGAAAGATGGCATAGCTCCAAAGGAATGTCCCCAGTGAAGCCATTTGTCCCAAGATCGATTATCCTAGACGATCGAGAGTGTCGTCCAAACGGAGGTATTTTACCGGTGAATTGATTGTCACTGAGATCGAGCATTATAAAATCCAGCTTTAGCAAACATTTTGGAAGCACTCCATGAAAGTCATTTTCTTGTAGGCCTAGAACTTTCAATTGCTTTAAATGGCATAGGGAGTTTGGAATCTGACCATTGAACTTGTTGTCTCCCAATGAAATCCATCGCAAATTTGCTTGCGACTTCCTCCAACATCGTGGAAGTCTCCCGGATAGTTGGTTCCTACATAGATCAAGATAATTCAATCCATCTAGCATGCACAACGAATTTGGAATGCCACCGCTAAGGTTATTTCCAAAAAGTGACACTTGGATTAATAATGGCATCTTTTTTCCAATAATTCGAGCAATGGTGCCTCTAAGCATATTCTGCGAGAGATCCAATAGTTTAACATTGGATAAAACATCTGATAGCCAGTGGGGAACTTCATCTGAGATGCTAGCATTTGACATGTCTAATGCTGAAATGTTGCTCTGTGTTCGAATCCAGTTTGGGAACTCTGGTCCCACTTTGCAACTTGACATGAAAATATTTTGAATCTGGAAAGGAGGAATCCAAGATGTGCTAACATTTATGACAAGCTCGTTCGAATAAATATACAACTCGGTCAAGCTTGTGAGATTGGCAAAGTGAAGTTCACTAACAACTCCACTTAATTGATTATTAGCAAAGTGCATCAGCTCTAGATTGGATAGTCGCCCAATACTTTCGGGAATGTTTCCACTCAATCTGTTAAAAGAGAGGTGCAACTTTCTCAAAGATGGTAGCTGACCCATAGTAGCGGGAATAGGACCTGAAATCGAATTCAACGAAAGATCAAGGAATTCGAGATCTTTGAAATTCCCAAATTGATTGGGTAGGTTACCACTAAGATTGTTGAAGGAAACATCAATAATCTTCAGGTTACTTCGTCCACAAATCAAAGCATTGTCCTTGGTTTCAGAAATACTCCCACTAAAGTTGTTAGCACGCAAGCTTAGTACTTGCAGATCGCAGAAAATGCTCATATTTTCCAAAAGTTCACCTCCCAACCTATTTTGAGAGATATCAAGGAATCTAAGCCACCGATTATTTTCAAGGATGGCAGGGGGGAATGTGCCTTGGAGATCATTATAGCTTAAATCAAGATGTTCGAGTTTGCTCAAATTTAGAAACCAAGGAGGAACAGATGAATTCATGAAGTTGTTACTCAGATCGAGGTATCTAAGAGAAGTGAAATTGACATGCAGAGAAGCTGAAGCATCTTCCAAAACACATCCACTCAAAATTAAATACTCTAGGGAGGAAAGCATGTTGATAGGACTTAACCATTCTTTGCGGTTGAGAAGGGGGACATAAGACAGGTCCAAGTACTTCAAGTTAGAAAATGTGGATAGCCATCGGAGGTTCTCTGTTTTTATTGGGTTTAGACTAAGATCTAAGTACTGTAAGCTGGAAAGGTTACTAAGTTGATTAGAAATATTTCCATAGAATCCTGTAGATGAGAGATTGAGATACTCCAGTTTCCGAAGAAAAACTAAGGACGCCGGAATTTTTTGTATTGAAAAATTGTTGAAGCTGAGGTCTAGATGCTTCAAATGCTTCAGTTCTTTAAGAGCAGGATGTAACTTACCTTCCAATATGCACTTCACAAAGTCATCACAAGGATTGCGAAGATCGAGCTTCGAGACGTGACCAGTTCTCTCGCTGCATCCGACTCCTTCCCACTCACAACAATCCTCGCCAGTCCAAGACCACAGACGTCTCGAAGGATCGGAGAGATCCTGCTTCAACTTCAAAAGAGCTTCCTTCTCGGCGCCAATGCATCTTATATTTGTGAAGGCTTTGGAATGACTGAATTTCAAGGCCTGAATGACATAGAATGCACACAAGAATACAGGCACAGAACTAGTGTAGAAGTAGGATGCCATTGTTGTTTGAAATGAAATTGAAAACTTCCGTTTATATTGGCCAAGAAAACACTTCCCTGAAGGATATGATTATTTTCTTTCTTTTAGTCACACGTATCTTGGTCTTGATTCGCCATAAAAAAAATTGGAATGTCCTTTTCTCTTTTCACTCGCAACTTGAAGAGACTTTAAATTTTAACAACTCTAAAACTTATCACGAAAATATAATTGAGTCCTAAAAATTTCAGAAAGTGAAATTCTGATGGGGTTATATCCGAACCGAATCAGAACAATCACACAGGACACACGAGTTTACTCAGGTTCACCCCAGAATAGGGCTACGTCCTGCAAAAGGATTCCATTATGATATTTAGGTTTTACAACCACAATCACTTGTTACAATGATCTCTCGTACGAGTATAATATATAGGACTTAAAATGGGCCCAAAGCCCAAGTCTATCCAAATCTTTTTAATCCCACAACAAACGGGTCAGCTTAAAACATAAGCTAAAAAACTGATGTTATTTCGGGGGCGCTGCCCCCGCCTACTCACCGGCGAACAGGTCTGCCGTCCGCTCACCGGCGAGCGGAACCCCCGCCCGCTGTCCGGTTAGCGAGACCCCCGTTTCAGGGGCGCTACCCCCGAACCCCCGCATTCCGTGCACAGGGGTCACATGTCGTCGGATCATACTTCGATTTCCCTAAGCTCATGTGGGCGTGCCCGGTATGAGAAACAAGAGTCCCCGAAGTATTTGCCAACTCCAACAAAATCAAGTCATAAAATTTGTTATGAAAGTGCAATTGAATCTTAAAACTTTTAAAAAGTGCAATTAAGTCATAAAACTTATCAAGTTAGTGCAATCAAATCCTTTCATTAACTCCGTCCAACTTGATAAATGGAAAATGCTAATAAGTTTTAGGACTTAATTACAATTTTTAAAAGTTTTAATACTCAATTATACTTTTATGATAAGTTTTAGGACTTACATTACCCATATCTCAAATTTCAAAGTCATGCCTTGCATGGCCCGTCAAACAATCAAGACACTTTGACCAAAAAAAAAAAAATAGTCAAGACACTAAATGCGACCATTTTATATTGGTCCGATAATTTGACCAAGATCAATTTTATTTTTGTTCGAGTTAAATTTAACTTAATTAGGAGCATATCCTAAAAGGTCAACGAAATCATGAAATACACTAGCCACCTAAAGCGACTAAAAATATTCCAAATCATGCCTTGCAAGACCCGTCAAATGGTCAAGACATCAAATGCGACCAAGAACAATTGTGTGAAGCATGTGAAATAGTTGGTTCCCATGCCCGCGTGTGAGGGTGTCAGTAAAACGATTCTTCCCTTCTGATAATCGAGAATGGTTTCAAAACGGAGGCACTTTACCAGGGAATTCACTGTCGATGAGATCAAAGAATCCCAAATCAAGATAGAACTCAGATAATTGCAAGATATACTAACGAGTTCGATTCAATCTCGATACATGGCTTTCGAAGATGGAGTTTGAAGACATGGCCAGTCTTTTTGCTGCACTCCGCTCCTTTCTACTCGCAACAATTTTAGCCGGTCCACGATGACAAGTGGACCGGCGATGAGACCTTGCTTGAATTTTAACAGATCAGCTTCCCCCTCGGTACGGATGCCCATCACATTCGCTACAGCTTTGAAATATCCCAATTCAGATGCTTCAAATGGAAGAAGTTGTCCATCATGTTGGGAGCACAAAGGCAGTGCAAGACCCGTCGAACGGTCAAAACTTAAGATGCAACCAATGACATCTGTGTCCATCAAATATCTACTTTGTTATTTGGTCATGGTTCCATGGATTCCCGGGAAGGACGACTGTTTCATATTGTTCATCTTTGAATCTCTAATGCTCTAGACTGTAACTCATTGTTAAGGAGTGGTTGAGCTGTGTGCGTAGTCGATAACTTTGACAAATAAATTTGTGTAAGTATTGGAACAGTTGGTAATTTCAAACAATCGGATCACATTGGTCAAAGGATTTATATAAAGTTGGTAATTTACTATAAGAGTTAATAAATATAATATGTTCGTATGCTCCAAAATAAAGTTGATAAATTATTAATTCCCTTGTTAATTTCGAACAATTAAACATATGTTGGTAACTGGCTCAAGTAAGAGTAAATAAAGCTAAAATTATTTGGTAACTTATCCCACAAAAATATTAGTTAATCATTTGAATCAAGATTGGTAGTTTTCAATCAGAGTTCGTAAGTTGATTCATTGATAACTTTTACAAAGAAATCTTAGTAAATTATTGGAATAATCAGTAATTTTGAATCAATGTAATAAATGTTGATAAGGGGACTCAAATAAGAGTTGGTAGTTTTCTACAAAAGTTAGTATTTTAACACATCGGTAAATTATAAAAATAAATGTTGGTAAATCATTGAAATAGTTGGTAATTTAAAACAATTTAATAACAGTTGATACTTTTGTAAGAGTGTCAGTAACAATAAAGAACACTAGAGATTTACGTGATTCGGTCCGAGTGTCAATACCTATTTTACGGGGAGAGTCAGCAACAAATAATTCATTATAATCAGAAATTCAAAGTTACAATCGCTCATACTCTCAAGTATTTCCCACACCTAGATTAAGTTTAAACCCAAAGTGTTTACAAATAGAACAAATTAATTAGATGTAAAAGCTTTACACTCGGTTGTCCAAGAAGAGTCTTGTATGCTCTTATCTTTTTCCCTTGTGCGGTTGCTATCTCGCTGAAGAAACACATGCCTTTTATGTGTGCCCTTACTTTGCTTTTTTTAGGGCTAAAATCACGAAAGATCCTAAATTGGTATATCTGTGATAAATTTATCTTAAACTAATTTTTAGATCACCAAAAACTCCAAACTGATACACATGTGATAAATTTGCCCCAAACTAATTTTTGGGTCACCAAAAACCCCAAACCAGTATACGTGTGACACATTTATACTTTGTTAACTTCTGTCAATTTTTAATTTGAAATCACTAAGCTGTATGACATATGGCAATAACTCAATTGACGTGGCAAGTTCACATAGAAATTCATAACTCTCTCTCTCTCTCTCTCTCTCTCTCTCTCTCTCTCTCTCTCTCTCTCTCTCTCTCTCTCTCTCTCTCAAAGCACTCTATCCGCTCTTCGTCTTCCTCTTCATTGAACACACTCTTTCATCGTCATCTTCGTCTTCGTGATTAGGCATCGGCACTCAACCGAGCACACTTTTATGTCCAATAATCTTATCACTTTAGATTCTTTTTAGACTTGTTTGGCTACTCATGCAAATCACCAAATTAGATGTTCAATGACTTCAATTGGAAGTGGTTCGAAGAGAAGCGCGTTTTCTTCTAGCTCTATCAACAAAGTTCGTCAGAGGACGATCTGGGGTTTTTCATGCTATGATGGAAACAGAGAATGAGCCATATTTGTTTTCAAATTATGGCTAATTGAAGAAACAAAGAGAGAGAGTTATGGATTTCCACGTGGACTTACCACGTTAACTGAGTTATTGCTATGTGTCATCCAGCTCAGCAATTTCATGGTAAAATTTGACGTAATGTAACGGAGGGTAAATGTGTTACGCATGTACTGGTTTGGGATTTTTGGTGACCCAAAAATTAGTTTTGGGTAAATTTATCATAAGTGTACCAGCTTGGGGTTTGTGATAATTCCAAAATTAATTTTAGGTAAATTTATTATAAGTGTACCAATCTCGAGTTTTTCTTAGTATTAACCTTTTTTTTAAAAAGTCAAAAAAAGCAACTTTGACTTGGACCCACCCATTTGTGGCCTTTAACGTTGATGTCCATTGTACGTCTTCCAGAGTTGAAAGATAAGGCGACAGTAAGAATTCTTCAACAGCATACAGATTCGGTTAATAATCCTAATTTACACCATCCAATTCAAATCAAGTTTACGCGAGATCAAACTTGAGACAGTAATTTAACAACTCTCTACCTTGACTTGACATTTATAGCCAAGTCATAGTGCTCATCATTCATGCTGCTCTCCTAACGCCCCAACGAGCGTTCATTCTCTACAAACGCCAATTGAGCTCGAGCAAAGCTTCAGCTTTGCCAAAAGAACATGTTTCATCATCATGTGTGTGCGGTTTTCCACTATCGCAATCTTCTTCACATCACCTTACCATTCGCTAAGACATCTTGCATAAAATGATACCTGATGCCGATATGTTTCGTTCGCTAGTGACAAATCGGATTATATACCAAATGTATCACATCTTGGTTATCACAGTGTGTATCAATAATTGTCTACTCCAACCCAAAATCTGAAAGCAAACCTCTTAGCCATATCGCCTACGTCGCTATAAAAGTCAGTGCCATGTGCTCTGCCTCAGTCGAAGACAAGGCAACGTGATCCTATAAGGACACTTTCCAACTCACTACACCACTTGTTAGTGTAAATACTTACCCTGCTAAAGACCCACACTCATCCAAGTCACCAACATAATCCAAATCCACATACCATGTGGTCTCATTGCCATTGTTGTTCCTCCGGTACATTATACCAACGTTTGTTGTCCCCTTTAAATATCTGTGGAGCCCTTCATAGCTTCCCAATGAGTTTTACCATGATGCTTCATATAACGGCTAATTACGATCACATCTTATGAAATGTCAGGCCTAATGCATACCATGGTGTACATAATAGTATCCACTGCACTAGAATAATGAACACGAAACATATGCTTCTCCTCCTTCTCAGTCTGCGGTGATAATTTATCAAAAAGTTTAAAGTGCTTCGTTAAAAGTGTACTTACATATTTCGCTAACTGCATATTAAAATGTGCAACAATCTTCTCAATATATTTTTTTTTTGAGATAAACATAAAACTCCTGCAATCCTATCACGCAGGATCTCCATACCCAATATTTTCTTTGACCTAAATCTTTCATTTGAAACTTAGCACTCAATTGCTTCTTTAGCACATCAATATCAGGCAAATTGTTAACTTCTATCAACATGTCATCAACGTATAA